GTTTTAGTCAGTTATAGTCATTTCTATATTTAATGGTTTTAGTCGACGAAAGCTTAAAAAGTTGTGTAGTTTTAGTCTTAAAAAATACAGCATATTAGTCTTTACAAATTAATTTGAGTAATTTGTGTTAACATTTGTGAATTTGTGTTGTGCTACTCTTAAAATGCCCAAAACAAAAACATTCTCACTTTGTGGCTGTATTTCTTAGAATTTCCTAAAGTGCAGTGAACATACAAACTACACATGCCCAATATTATAAGCAATAAAGGGGAACACACATGTTCAACTCAAACTTGTCAGCCAGGACCATGAAGATGCTTAACTTAGTAGACTATTAAACTTGTGCAAACGAGTGTTTACATGCACCAGGCTTTTATTCAGAACAGAAGCACTGATATGCGCAGTTGCTAACTCCCCCCGGCCAAACCCCCCTCCCCCCCAAAAAAACAGAAGAGTTTTACTTTCCTCATGAACATAAACAAACAGCTTCTGAGCGCTCAGAACGGACCTGCAACAGCTTTTAACCCGTTTAATCCCACCGACAATAATTGTTGCCAGACATTTTGTTTTACTTCTGGAAGCTCTAAAAGTGTTATTTTGGCTTTGGGAAGCTAATTTAAGTTTTACAACTGTATAATAGGCTTCCCAAATAATAGGGTTCCCAAACTTTTCCATGCTATAGCCCCCCAAACAGCATAAGCGTTTGGCTGGGGACCCCCTATGCAAACCTACAAATAATGTTACAAAATATGTAAAATGTTAAAATGTTGTTTAAATCACTTTTTATAAGTATTGTCGTGATTTACCTTCCGGATGAGATGAGGGTGCATTGGTGATGAAGCACACGACAAGGGATCTTCCTCTTATGAACYTTACTTGCTCCGAAACAGTTTAGTGTACAATCAAAAGTAATATGCTGTGTTGATTTGGCCTCTAGCTCTGGCACAGACAGCGTTTTAGCAGTGTCCATGCAGTGAGCCACGAGTATCTTACAACCAGCAGAAAAATTTAACTAAACTCAAATCTCGCGATA